AGAAAACTCAGATGAGTGTGTATAAATAAACATGTACATGTATGTGTAGTGTTTACCTGGAGTTTACCTGGAGAGAGTTCCGGGGGTCAACGCCCCCGCGGCCCGGTCTGAGACCAGGCCTCCTGGTGGATCAGAGCCTGATCAACCAGGCTGTTGCTGCTGGCTGCACGCAAACCAACATACGAGCCACAGCCCGGCTGATCCGGAACTGACTTTAGGTGCTTGTCCAGTGCCAGCTTGAAGACTGCCAGGGGTCTGTTGGTAATCCCCCTTATGTGTGCTGGGAGGCAGTTGAACAGTCTCGGGCCCCTGACACTTATTGTATGGTCTCTTAACGTGCTAGTGACACCCCTGCTTTTCATTGGGGGGATGGTGCATCGTCTGCCAAGTCTTTTGCTTTCGTAGTGGGTGATTTTCGTGTGCAAGTTCGGTACTAGTCCCTCTAGGATTTTCCAGTGTATATAATCATGTATCTCTCCCTCCTGCGTTCCAGGGAATACAGGTTTAGGAACCTCAAGCGCTCCCAATAATTGAGGTGTTTTATCTCCGTTATGCGCGCCGTGAAAGTTCTCTGTACATTTTCTAGGTCGGCAATTTCACCTGCCTTGAAAGGTGCTGTTAGTGTGCAGCAATATTCCAGCCTAGATAGAACAAGTGACCTGAAGAGTGTCATCATGGGCTTGGCCTCCCTAGTTTTGAAGGTTCTCATTATCCATCCTGTCATTTTTCTAGCAGATGCGATTGATACAATGTTATGGTCCTTGAAGGTGAGATCCTCCGACATGATCACTCCCAGGTCTTTGACGTTGGTGTTTCGCTCTATTTTGTGGCCAGAATTTGTTTTGTACTCTGATGAAGATTTAATTTCCTCATGTTTACCATATCTGAGTAATTGAAATTTCTCATCATTGAACTTCATATTGTTTTCTGCAGCCCACTGAAAGATTTGGTTGATGTCTGCCTGGAGCTTTGCAGTGTCTGCAATGGAAGACACTGTCATGCAGATTCGGGTGTCATCTGCAAAGGAAGACACGGTGCTGTGGCTGACATCCTTGTCTATGTCGGATATAAGGATGAGGAACAAGATGGGAGCGAGTACTGTGCCTTGTGGAACAGAGCTTTTCACCGTAGCTGCCTCGGACTTTACTCTGTTGACGACTACTCTCTGTGTTCTGTTAGTGAGGAAATTATAGATCCATCGACCGACTTTTCCTGTTATTCCTTTAGCACGCATTTTGTGCGCTATTACGCCATGGTCACACTTGTCGAAGGCTTTTGCAAAATCTGTATATATTACATCTGCATTCTTTTTGTCTTCTAGTGCATTTAGGACCTTGTCGTAGTGGTCCAATAGTTGAGACAGACAGGAGCGACCTGTTCTAAACCCATGTTGCCCTGGGTTGTGTAACTGATGGGTTTCTAGATGCATGGTGATCTTGCTTCTTAGGACCCTTTCAAAGATTTTTATGATATGGGATGTTAGTGCTATTGGTCTGTAGTTCTTTGCTGTTGCTTTACTGCCCCCTTTGTGACCTAAGTGTAAGTAGAAGTAGCAAGACGTACCTGTAATCTTGCATATTTATGAGACAGACAAAAGACACCAGCAATCCTACCATCATGTAAAACAATTACAGGCTTTCGTTTCACACTCACTTGGCAGGACGGTAATACCCCCCTGGATGGTTGCTGTCTACCAACCTACTTATAGATATAAGTTATACTTATAGATGTAATGTATAATAAGAATGACTGGCAACTGGCAAGTAATGCGCATTTTCAGTTTTTCAGGAAGCAGACGTGATCGTGTGTAATACCAGTTGGTTCATGAGCAACTCTCTGAGACAAGAGAGGCAAGCAGACAGAAAGACAGAGATACACAAGCAGGCAGACAGACACAGACAGACAGAAAGACACACACACAGGCAGACAGATAAACACAGCTAGACAGACAGACAGACAGACAATTCAATTCAATTCAAAGTTTATTCTCTATAAGGATTAAAATGCTGAGTTTACAGAATTTGGTTATTGTGTGGTTTACATGTAGTAAAATAATAATTACAGAGTGTACCACTAGAACACCTAGCATGGCTAGGCATTTCGGGCAGACATGTTTATGCATAACAGTGAAAACAAATAATGCCAGGGTACCATGGAGCAGTGCACATTTATCATGTCACTCCACTGCTTACCCTTAACACCATGCTTCTAGGAGTTAAATATATACTGCAGCATGTCTGAAACATTGCTGGGACCTATAATATTTATTTATTATCACACTGGCCGATTCCCACCAAGGCAGGGTGGCCCGAAAAAGAAAAACTTTCACCATCATTCACTCCATCACTGTCTTGCCAGAAGGGTACTTTACACTACAGTTTTTAAACTGCAACATTAACACCCCTTCTTCAGAGTGCAGGCACTGTACTTCCCATCTTCAGGACTCAAGTCTGGCCTGCCGGTTTCCCTGAACCCCTTCATAAATGTTAATTTGCTCACACTCCAACAGCACGTCAAGTATTAAAAACCATTTGTCTCCATTCACTCCTATCAAACACGCTCACGCATGCCTGCTGGAAGTCCAAGCCCCTCGCACACAAAACCTCCTTTACCCCTTCCCTCCAACCTTTCCTAGGCCGACCCCTACCCCGCCTTCCTTCCACTACAGACTGATGCACTCTTGAAGTTATTCTGTTTCGCTCCATTCTCTCCACATGTCCGAACCACCTCAACAACCCTTCCTCAGCCCTCTGGACAACAGTTTTTGGTAATCCCGCACCTCCTCCTAACTTCCAAACTACGAATTCTCTGCATTATATTCACACCACACATTGTCCTCAGACATGACATCTCCACTGCCTCCAGCCTTCTCCTCGCTGCAACATTCATCACCCATGCTTCACACCCATATAAGAGCGTTGGTAAAACTATATTCTCATACATTCCCCTCTTTGCCTCCAAGGACAAAGTTCTTTGTCTCCACAGACTCCTAAGTGCACCACTCACCCTTTTCCCCTCATCAATTCTATGATTCACCTCATCTTTCATAGACCCATCCGCTGACACGTCCACTCCCAAATATCTGAATACATTCACCTCCTCCATACTCTCTCCCTCCAATCTGATATCCAATCTTTCATCACCTAATCTTTTTGTTATCCTTCTAACCTTACTCTTTCCTGTATTCACTTTCAATTTTCTTCTTTTGCACACCCTACCAAATTCATCCACCAATCTCTGCAACTTCTCTTCAGAATCTCCCAAGAGCACAGTGTCATCAGGAAAGAGCAACTGTGACAACTCCCACTTTATGTGTGATTCTTTATCTTTTAACTCCATGCCTCTTGCCAAGACCCTTGCATTTACTTCTCTTACAACCCCATCTATAAATATATTAAGCAACCACGGTGACATCACACATCCTTGTCTAAGGCCTACTTTTACTGGGAAATAATTTCCCTCTTTCCTACATACTCTAACTTGAGCCTCACTATCCTCGTAAAAACTCTTCACTGCTTTCAGTAACCTACCTCCTACACAATATACCTGCAACATCTGCCACATTGCCCCCCTATCCACCCTGTCATACGCCTTTTCCAAATCCATAAATGCCACAAAGACCTCTTTAGCCTTATCTAAATACTGTTCACTTATATGTTTCACTGTAAACACCTGGTCCACACACCCCTCCTTGTTCATCCGCTATCCTATTCTCCGTCTTACTCTTAATTCTTTCAATAATAAATAAATACTGAATAACTGAACCTTATAAATTGTATATCTTAAATGTTTCTCACAATTATATCACATAAATGTTAAACCTAAAACCCAATCTAACTTTATTATTTTTTAAATACACTACCTAACAGAATACTCCATTCTACTGAATGTACAACAATGCATGCAACCATATGACCTGTCTTTGTAATACTCACTTGTGCTTTATAGTAATCTGTTTACATTAATGTTTTATCACTGATTTCATCATTGCTTAGTTAATCTTAAGTTAATTTTAAGCCAGCCCGTAATGCTATGCATAGTATAAGTGGCTTTGGCATGCTGCTCTTATCTGTATTTTTTTGTACCTCTGTATGTGTGCTCAAATTGTTAATAAATAAATAAATAAATAAATAACTCTACCATACACTTTGCCAGGTATACTCAACAGACTTATCCCCCTATAATTTTTGCACTCTCTTTTATCCCCTTTGCCTTTATACAAAGGAACTATGCATGGGACCTATAAATACTTTGTATATATTCCTAGACATTAGTAAATGAGCAAGGCAGGTGTAAATGTTGTCCTGTCAGTGTGTTTGTGACAATTTGAGTACAATTTGAGTACCTAATATTAGTGTCAAAACAAAGATTGGCTATGAAATCACAAGAACTACTATAAATTGTAATTATCAGAACACAAAAATTGTATAAAATATAAAAACGAGAAAAAAGGTATATCGGCAACACTGCTGCAAGTGGCAGGACTCCATGTTGACGTCAGGTGAACATCCAGTGGCAACTTTGCGGTCTTATATCTTGGTAAGTACTGGTCCCCAAAAAATTTTTGGGTCATATTACACACAGAAAAATTGCCCTCTCTAATTTAAGAAATAGAAGAAACAATCCTCTCCCCCCCCCCCCCCCAAAAAAAATGAGCACTATGCGAGCGAATGTAGATCTATGTTTGGACAGTTAACAGGTTAATGGAAGATAGAATTTCTTTTGGTTTCTGTACACATCTGTCTGGCATTGTTACTGAAGAAATTGGGAGTTTTTTTTTTCTATGCAATAAGTTCTGAATGACTCATCTGTGTGATTTGTAATTTTCAATACTGATATATTCCTGCATTAACAAATTATGCCACACTGTATTTTCATTTGATGCATAGTGAGGTAGAGGGGGCTGAGCTTATAGGATACTGGTATACCTTCCTTAGATCATGCAGTGACCGAAGCACATCTAGTTACAATTTATAGTAATTGAAATAACCGTGTTCCAGATTTCACAAACTATCAACCAACAATTGGACAAGCTTGAGGAAGAGCTCAATGGTCAATCTCAGTTTTATAATGGACTGCTGGAGAAGTTACGAATTCTGCGGCGTCATCAGGAGACTCACATGAGCAGTGACAGTCTAGCCGAAGGCTTAACATCACAAGTAAGTTTACAAACATTAAAGGAGCACTGCAGTAGGCCTATTGGCTCATGCTAAGCAGATCCCCCTAAAACCCAACCATCCTTATTAATTTCTAAAATTACCTAAGTTATACAGGTCCTCCATCACAAATCCGGCATCATTGGGACCTGTAGTGTGCCGGATTACAGAATGGTTAGGTTAGAATACACTTAATAAAATTAACCAACTTGACTTACACAAAGTTCATTGAACATTGGCAAAAATCGAACATTTCCGCTACTTTGAGCTCAATTTCAAGGTACTTTTTGTCATGAAAGCAATCAAAATCATGTCTATTTCTGTAATATATCTTCCATTCTATCAAATAAGACCAAAAAAACAAGAATACAACCATAAAAACCATGCGAAAATATTCCGCAAAGAGGCGGCTAATGGCTGAGAAGTGAACTCCCATATTTATCGTCCGTCTTTTTTATTTTTGTTGTACGTTAAGGAGCATCTTTCCATCATACATTGCCCAAGTTTCAGTGAGATAGCCCAACAAACAACCGAGAAAAAAAAAATTACCAAAAATCATATATGGCAAGCCCAAGCCAGGTACTGGAAATAAGTCACTTTGACTTTTCTGGGTTATCCTAGGCTCTCTATACATACGCTGCTATGTATGATAGTCTATGTAACTGTATTTGTGTATACCTGAATAAACTTACTTCTAGTCTGTCAACTGAGTACAAGAAACCAATCATTCACTTACTTCAACTACCCAATAAAGTGGTCAGAAATTGGCAATTTGGCCAATTTCAACAGATGCCAATTTCAAAATATGGTCCAGAATAAACAATGCAGACATTCCTGGCACTAAAATAACATTTTCTCTGTTCATTAGTCACGGCTACAGGCCCCTCTTATGTTACTCTTGCTTACCATTTGGAATTTTTATTCACAAAAAAATAGAAGAATTACTGTTTTGCAGGCTTCTGCATTATTGTAATAATTGTATAAATAATGTCAACCCATTCTCGACTCCGTATTGGAATTTGGACTGGCAGGCGGACAGGTATTGGACGGTGATGTCATATGTTTACTCTTGAGCTTCGCTAAAGAACAGAACATTTTTGCTACTGTGAGCGCAATTTCAAGGTACTTTTCATCATGAACGCAATCAAAATCATATCTATTTCTGTAATATATCTTTCATTCTATCAAATGAGACTGAAAAAACTAGAATGTAACTATAAAAGCCATACAAAAATATACCGCTAAGCTGCAGCTAATGGCTGAGAAGTGAACTCCGCTATTTATGGTCTGATTTCTTTCATTTTTGGTGTACGTTAAGAAGTATCTTTCTATCATACATTGCCCAAGTTTCAATAAGATAGCCCAACAAACAATTGAGAAAATAATAATAAAAATAATATCTTTATTTGCTACACATACATGTACAATGTATACAGGCCTAGCTGACGTCAGTGACATATTACTGTATAGAAAGCCGCTTGTTATGCAGAGTATTTCAAGAAAATTAGGCCAGAGTCCCAGGATAACACCCACATTAGTCGGCTAACACCCAGGTACCCATTTACTGATGGTGAACATAGACAACAGGTGTAAAGAAACATGCCTAATGTTTCTACCCTGGCTGGGAATGTACTAACTGGGCAGTAAATTTCACCATGGCCCCTAAGATGAAGTCTGAATCTTGCACTGGAGATTGTGGCAAGAAAGGCTCTTACTCTCGAACTCTCTATTTGTTTTCACTATTGCACATATCTGTGTCTGTCTGTATCTCTGTGTGTCTGTTTATCTGTCTTTATGTCTACATGTGTGTCTGTCTGTCTACTTGTGTGTCTGTCTTATGTCTACCTGTGTGTCTTTCTGTCTACCTGTGCGTCTGTCTTTCTGTCTGCTTGTCTGTCTCAGAGCCACTCATTAAGAGTGTAATTGGTCTTGAAGATGCCATATTAACCCTTTGAGGGTTTTCGTCGTACTAGTACGTCTTACGCGTAGGGGTTTTTGACGTACTAGTACTCATAAATTCTAGCGGCCTCAAATCTAGTGGGAGAAAGCTGGTAGGCCTTCATATGAAAGAATGGGTCTATGTGGTCAGTGTGCACAGTCTAAAAAAAATCCTGCAGCACACAGTGCATAATGAGAAAAAAAAAACTTTGACCATTTTTTTTTAATAAATCAGCGACTTTGCAGTGTATTTTCGTATGGTATTTATTGTTGTATTCTAGTTTTCTTGGTCTCATTTTATAGAATGGAAGACTTATTACAGAAATTGAGATTTTTTTGACTTTTTTTACAAAGAAAGGTGCCTTAAAATTTGAGAACAAAGTAGCAAAAAGTTCGATTTTTCCCAAAAACTTCAAAGTATACAAATGGGCCAAGCGTGCAAAACGTCAACTGGTATTTAAAATTTTTCCCCTTTCACAAGTGCCCCAAATAATTTTTTTAAAACCCTTTTTTTTTACACTAATGCAGAAAGTCTGCATAACAGTAAATCTTTATTTTTTTTGTAAAAATAAAAATTCAAAGTGGAAAGAAAAAATAAAAGGGGGGGCCTTGAACGTGACTAATGAAAAGGGAAAAATTGTTTTTTTTAGTGCCGGGAATGTTTTTCTTGTTTATTCTGGACCCTATCCGGAAAATTTGGGATCTTTTAAAATTTTGTGTAAATTGGAAAAAATTTGCTAAATTCTGACCACTGTACTGGATAGTTGAATTTCATAAAATGATTTTTCTTGCCCCCCTTCGATAGAAAAAAATGGAGTTCTAGCGAAATATTCATTTTTTTGTCGACTATGAAGTAAAAATTGGCCGAAAATGGGGCTAAAAGGGGCAAAATGGCCAAATGGAAAACATCGCCGAGACTGAAAACCCTTTGGGCGGGGGCCATAATTCCGAAATTTTTTTCCTAGCAAATTTCAAACTTTTGGTTTTTTATAATGGGGAAAAAGATTTTTTTTTCTTTTCAAAGAAAAAATTAATTTTTTTTTTTTTTTAAATTTGGCCGCCCCGGGAGAACGATTTTGGAGAGGGCCTGCGCCCCTAAAAGGGTTAAAAAATAAATAATTACACATAATAATCATTGAAGAAATTAAATGTTAAAAAATGTTTATTAGTTTTATGTTTTAAAGGGAAAAAAGGGAGGGGTGGGCTCCAAAAGTCCCATTTTTTTAGAGGGGCAACTGATATTTCGGTTTTTTTTTATTTAGTTTTTCTACAATAATAAAGGAAGAGGGAAAAAAAGGAAGGGGCAAAACATTAAGAGGGGGGGGAAAGTGTATACACAAAGGGAGGAAGTTGGGGTGAGATAAAAGCGACTTTTGGCAGAAAGGGGGGGCAAAAGTGCAAAAATGAGTATGGGGGGGTTGAAGAGGGTTGGAATTTTTTAAAAATGCGTATTAGAATGTGGGCAGAAGTTTGGGGTTATAGGAGGGTGGGGGAAGGGGGAAAGAGGGTGATTGGGGGAAATTTGATAAGGAAAAGGGGTTTGGGGATAAAAGAAAAAAGGTAGCTTATAAAGGGGTTTTTTTTACAAAGCAGAAAGTGTTATAAGAAAGGATTTAAAATTTTTTTTTATTTTCACCCCGGGCCCGATTCCCCCCAAAGGGCGGGTTGGCCCAAAAAAAGAAAAACTTTAAACCATCTTTCCCTCCATCACTGTCTTGCCAGAAGGGGGGTTTTACACTACATTTTTTAAAACTCCCAACCCATTAACACCCCTCCTTCAGGGTGCGGGGCACTGAATTTCCCCATCTAAAAGGACTCAAGCCCGGGCCCTCCCGGTTTTCCCCAAAAACCCTTCAAAAAATGTTACTTTGTCACACTCCAACGAAAGGAAAGTTTTTAAAAAACCAAATTGCCCTCCATTCCCCCCTATCAAAAAAGCTCACGATGAAAATGCGGGAAAAGGTCCAACCCCCTCGCACAAAAAAACCTCCTTTCCCCCCCCCCCCAACCCCCTTCCTGGGCCGCCCCCTACCCCCCCTTTCCCTTTCCCACTACAGACTGATCCCACTCTTGAAGTAAATTCTTTTTTTCGTCCCATTTTTCTCTAATGTCCGAACCCCCTCAAAAACCCCTTCCTCACCCTCGGGGACAACATTTTGGTAATCCCCCCCCTCCCCCTTTAACTTCCAAAAACAATTCTTGCATTATTTTCCACCCCCACCCATTCCCCCTCGACATGCCTTTCCACTGCCCCCAACCCTTCTCCCGCTGCAACATTCATCACCCCGTTCACACCCATTTTAAGGGGCTTTGGGAAAAAACCATACTACTTTCTTTCCCCCCTTTCCCTCCAAGGAAAAAGTTCTTTGTCCCCCAAAAGACCCCTAAGTGCCCCACTCACTTTTTTTCCCTAATAAATCAATATTCCCCTCTTTCAAGCCCCAAATCCGCTAAACGACCACCCCCAACTTTTCCCTGAATACTTAACCTCCTCCTTTCCTCTCCCTCCAATCTAAATATTCAATTTTTTCATAAACCTAATCTTTTTTTTTTCCTCATAACCTCTTTTTCCTGTATTCCCCTTTTAATTTTTTTCTTTTGCCCCCCCCAAAAAACCAAATTCATCCCCCAATTTCTCTGCAACTCCTTCAAATCTCCCAAAGGGCACAGTGTCATCACAAAAGCGCGGGGAAAAAAACTCCCCTTTGTGTTGATTCTTTATTTTTTAATTTCCCCCTCTTGCCAAAAAACCCCCATTTATTTTTCTCTTACAACCCCATTATAAAAAAATTTAAAAAACCAGGGGACATCACACATCCTTGTCAAAGGGCCTACTTTTACGGGGAAAAAAATTTCCCTCTTTCCTACATATTTAACTTGACCCTCACTATCCACGTAAAAAATCTTCAATCTTTCAGTAACTAAACCCCCCTTCACCAAAACTTTAAAAAAACTTTCCACATTGCCCCCCTATCCAACCCCGTCATTTCGCCTTTTTTCCCAAAACCCTAAATGCCACAAAACCTCTTTAGCCTTATCTAAATTTCTGTTCACTTATATTTTCC